CAGTTGAATGGTGGGAGATATTTGGTAGTGATGCACCTCACCTAAGGAGGATAACAATCAAGGTGCTCTCCCAGACTTGTTCTGTTAATAGGTGTGAGCGAAACTGGAGTACGTTTCAATTGTTGCACACTGCTAGAAGGAATCGACTCGCTTCGGAGAGGCTTCATAAACTTGTCTACGTTCATTACAGCTTAAACCTCTGAAAGCGACAAATAAGAAAGAAGCTTGAAGACTAGGGACCGATAGACTTGGACCCAATATTTATCACAGACACAGCAAAACAATGGGTTGTAGAGGAATAGGAGCCAATGTTGCACAAGAGAGCGTTCTTTGAGGCTATCGGTGATGACCATCTTTAAGAAGGTGTTGAGCCTCATGAAAGAGGAAGAGCTCGCCAACATATCCACAATTCGTCGTAGATGTTGGTGGTATTGCATCTAATGAGGGAGAGTGGGAAGAGGGTATAAGGGAAAATGAGAGTGATGATTTTGAGGCCAACCTATCCCAACCAAATTATTCACATACCGAGTCCCAGCAGCAAGAGGGTAGGACGAGTACGACAGTGTAGGTGTGCATGAAGGATGGATAAGCTTCGAGGATTTTGGATTAGGAGCGCAACAAAATACTAATACTCAAAGATTTGGGTATAGTCATATGCCCACTAATTTGGATGATTCTTTCCTAGATCGAGTCAATGAAATGTCACACGAATTCAATCAATGGTATCAACGTGATCAAGATGGAGAATGACGTCGTCTTTTATTTTATTATTAAGTCCTATTTTATGAATTGTATGCTTTATTGTAGTCCATTATGATGATATAGTTCATCCATGATAATTCTATGCTTCTCCTTTCGTGTGATGTAAATGTAATGGTTAACAATAGTTCATGCAGGGAAAAAACATCTCAATATTGGCATGTTGATGCAAAAAAATGAAAGTTCTTAATGGAGTGCCCCATTTCTTATTGGATTCTTAAAAAACAACATTTATAATGATTTTAATAATTTTTTTGGATTTGTTTTAAGGTTGAATCTGACTGATTCGGCCGATTCCAATCCGGATCGCCGATTCACCGATCCGGGGCTCCGATTCTTTTTTTAAACCACTGTTAAAATATAAAATAATCTATTCTTATATCGAAAGGAACAAGAACATGCATACATTTTTTGTATCAAGGAATTTTAATTATGTATCTAGATTCAAGAACATACATTTTAGTCAATAAAAAAAAACTGACGATAATAAAATTAAAAAATACAAGTTTTTATTGCATGATATTTATGTATTCATGACATAGAATTGGATCATTCATTATAGTTACAAGAAAATAGAAAAAAATCTATTCTTATACTGAGAGAAACAAGAACATACATATATTTGATGTATCAAGAAAATTTTAATTATGTATCTAGATTCAAGAACATACATTCTAGTACAACAAAAAAAATTGACGATAAAGTTAAAAATTACAAGTTTTTATTGCATGATAATTATACATTCATGACATAGAATTGGATCAGTGATTATAATTACAAGAAAATAGAAAAAAAATCTATTTTATACTGAGAGAAACAAGAACATACATACATTTGATGTATCAAGAAAAATTTAATTATGTATCTAGATTCAAGAACATACATTCTATTGCATTAAAAAAATTGATGATAAAATTAAAAAATACAAGTTTTTATTACATGATAATATACATTCCTGACATAAAATTGAATCATTGATTATAATTACAAGAAAGTAGAAATAAAAAAATCAGTTGCTTCAAAACGCCTAAAAATTTACAGAAAATCGATCAAAATTGGGTCTATAATTACACAAATGGCAGATGAACGCGAACTTGAGTCACAACCATAGAGAATTTTCAACAAAAATTCATATAAAAAAAAACCAAATGATAAATCATGATACTAATGGATATACAAATTGAAATAATGAGGATCCTAATAAATACCTCAAATCTATTTGAATCAACTTATATTGATTGAAATTTTCAATTTGAAATTTAGGGTTCTTCAGGTTTGCGTGAATCAGTCACGATTTCTTCAAAATCGATAAACAAAACTTTGTTAATAATATAACTAACTCACAATAATCTGAAGAACATCATGAGCTTCAAAAACCATCTGATATCATCCAAAATGGTGCCCAATTTTAGCTGAAATTAACAATTCGACAGATCAACAATTTCAGAAAACGTTGTTCGAGCTCGATTTCTTCAAAAATAAGCAAAATAAGTGTTTAATCAGAAAAAATAGAGCTACAATCTTCTGAATAACATTGTAAATTTCAAAACCCCTATGATTTGATTACAAAAACTATCTATTTCTCCTAAAATTAATCAAATGGTGGAAATTTTCTTAAATTTAGGGTTCTTCTGGTACGCGTGAATCAGTCACACTTTCTTAAAAAATTGATGAACAAAACTTTGTTAATAACATAAATAACTCACACAATAATATGAAGAACATCATGAGCTTCAAAAAGCCATTGATATAATTTTGCTGAAATCAACACTATAATTTCAGAAACATTGTCAGAGCTCGATTTCTTCAAAAATCGAGCAAAATAATTGTTTAATCAGAAAAAATAGAACTACAATCCTCTGAATAATACTTTAAACTTCAAAACCCCTTTGATTTTGATCACAAAAACTATCTATTTCGCCTGAAATTAATCAAATGGCAGATATGTTTTGAACACTGAAGTGTTTTTAAAAACCGTGATTCAATCCTGTGTTTTATAATGTTTAGATGCATTATAGTCACCAATAATGCTCTGCAAAGCCTGCCTTGGATCAATTATACAAGAAAAAATGGAAATCACGTGTTATTTTCACTGTTCAGGCCGTGAAACTCACCTTAAATTCGTATGAAATGGTGATTTTTTTTAAAACCACTTTTTTTATCGAAAAAACTCGAACCGTTCCCGTTTTTATGCGGATCCGGAGCGGTCTTGATGATTCCCAATTCAGATCGCCTAATTCTGGATAGTGCCACCAATTTTTTAGACCTTGGTGAATACCATGGATAAGTGAATGGGCCTCAACTTCCTCATTGACCCACGCAATTTCGTGTGTATAACTGAATGGAATTGCACGAGTAGTTACAGAAAGATACATTTGAGCATAGTTATGAGGACCAGACTAGCTGCCGAACTGGCAAAGCGTCTAGTTCAATCAAAACCGGTTCAACTCCTGGTCGAACTTCTTGGATTAGGTTTTAAAAAAGTAAAAGAAAAATATGAATAGAAGTTTGAACTATAAAATATATCAGGAAAACTTTCTTAAATTTGTTCAATTGATCAAACTAGCCAAAATCGGATGGCTAGATTGGCTAAAACTCATCAAAAACTAATCTTCACCTGTTTTTGACCAAACTAGATTTTTGCTTTAGACTCGACTAGTCAAGGCATTGGTCTCGGCCTGTCGTGATGACTATACATACAGATATGATGACTTGAGGAAGATTCATCTTTATTCCATTTTATGTGGTCATATGGTGGTGATTACCAAGCAATCTGCTTGATGTCATGGTTTAGTTAGACTTGAGGAAGATTCATCTTTATTCAAATTGATGTGGTCATATGGTGGCTCTGCTTGATATCATGGTTTAGTTAGCTTCTGAGGAATGTTCCATCTAGTTTCTATTACTTGTTTTTTCCTACAACTTGCTGATCATTTTTGGGAGATCTTTTGTTACAATTTGATAAAATAACCTCAAAATTTCTTGAGCAGTTGAATTGAGAATTAAGTGTAACCAACATAATTAGGCTTGCAAGCTGGTCGGGTCTGGGTTGGGTTGACTAGGGCCAGAACCCGTTCAGGCCCAATGGACCCAGACATGGTCCGATCTTAACAGGTCTGGGGCAGGGTCTATTTCCAGGTTCGGTCAGGCTGGCAGTCTTTGGATTTCCTTATTCACTATACAAAATAGCAGTCAACATATTTGATTCTAAATCTGAAACACAAAATGGGCAATCTTTTGGTAATTTAAATGCCTTGCTTTTGGACATTAGTGAGGAATAGGAACTTTGCCATAATAAGTCATTCAAGTAAACAAGGACGCTTGGGCAGCCTCTGACTAAAACAATTAGATATTTGTTTGATGGTTTGATACACAAGTGTTCGAGAATTAGCCTGAGTCAAATCGGCCTCGAGTGAGTCAGACAAGCACCCTGGTTACCTTGTATAGTACTTGGGCGAGTATGTACAAACGCACCCTAAATTGTATAGACTTGGGCTGACTCTACTACTCAAGCAAGTTGGTGTAGTACTCGGGCAAGGAGGTAGCCTGAGTACTGTACGCTATTAAATATAAAATAGGAGGACAAAATTCCGCCATCCTTTTTCATTTTCTGATTTTGAGCCCTAGAGTCCCCCATTGTTGCCAAAATTCGAGCCTTAGCTAGAGGTTTGCTTGATCTATGCATTAGAAACATTGGATTCGAGAGAAAAACAATCAGATTTTAGAGTTTTTTGAGATATAAAGTAAGGGCTTGACTTAATTTGAAAGATTCGTGTTTTCTTCACAAATTTGGGTTGATTCTTGAAGACCATTGAACCCATGCCTATTTTTAGGTTTTTGATCCAAGCCTATGCTTCTTTTTCCACAAAAAACACAAAAATCTTAGATTTTTGATAGATTTAAGATTCGGATTTACTGTGTCCAAATTGTCAAGAGCTCCCTAGATTGAACTCAAAACTGAAGGTTCGGGGATTTTGATATGAGCCGTATAAACTCATAAGGATCGGAGTCATCGATACGTATTGAGCATGAAGATCGGGAGATCGGCTTAAACGTTTCGGTAAATTTCATTTTTTAATTTATTTCTCAAAAAAAATTCATTTGTGAATTTAAATTCATATTTGAGTTTTTTACAAGATTAATTATAATTGATTTATAATTAGTTCTTACTTTTCTATTTCTTTTTATTTTTCTAGTTTGCTATTTTCTTCCTTTTTTTCCCCATATTTTTTATGAATTTATTGTTTTTCAGGTGAATAACATCGACCTTTTTAACATTTCATGATGTGTACGCTTTTATTTTTAGCATTTTATGTGAATTTTAGGATTTTACTTTCCTTTTTTCTTTTTTAAGGTATTTTTATCATTTTCCCCTATTTTTTGGTGGATTTTTGGGCCTTGCCTTTGCTCAGGCGTGACATGGCTGAGTCTGAGATGAGTCACCTAAGAAAGGTTAAAAAAATGTGGATGCGGCCGCCTAGGCGGTCAAGGTTTTGGGCCGCCTAGGCAACAAGGCGGCTGGCTAGGCGGCGATGTCCAGACACAAAGCCGGCCCTAAGGGAAGGGATTGTTGGGGTGCGGGCCATATGTAGTTTTGTGTGTGTGTGTTGTGAATGTGTGTCGTGTGTGTGTGTGCGTGCATGAGCATGCACACGTATGTGTGTGTGTGAGGTCTCGCATGAAATTCTTAAAGATCATCCTCTTTTTATCTTTTTTTATGAATCTGTATTTGTGAGAGACTCTTTTTATCTTTTTTTATGAATCTGTATTTGTGAGAGAGAGGTCTTGAACACTTGGAGGATACGTAGAGATTGAGAGAGAGAGAGAGAGAGAGAGAGAGAGCTCACATCGAACACTTGGAGGTCATCTTCTTCTTGTTTTCTTCTTACATATAAAGAGGGAGTGTATGGGTCCATGTGTATCTTTGTGTGTGTGTGCATGTGTGTGAGAGAGAGAGAGAGAGGCTGCACATCGAACACTTGGAGTCCATCTTCTTCTTCTTCTCATATGTAGAGAGCGCACATGGACCCAAGAAAGAGAGAGAGAGAGATAGAGAGGGAGAAGGGCTTAGTTCCTTTTGGATGGATTTGAGTTTGTTTTGATTTTTTTTTGGGTGCCCAGACTGGTTAGGCGCTCGCCTTAGGCATGTCTGTTCAGATAGCCTTGGCAGTTTGTCGGCCAGGCTGCCTAGGTGGCAAGGCGGCCGGATTTTCGTTCATTGCACCTTAGTAACTCATCTTGGTTAGGGGCCGAGTACGAATCCCCAGCCATGTTTCTAAACACTGATCTACATTATGACATCAAGTGCAGCACCTGATACTCCTAGGGTACTTGCAAGTTTAAAATGATACCGCTATAAACAAACAATATAAGTAAACCATGAAGCAGCATATGTAGAACTTATGTCTATATAGCCATGTAATATGATATGGGAATGTATATTATGAGACCATCTATGTTTAGTACAAGGAGGTCACAATAATTTATAGTCACTAGATTTAAAATTTGGACACTAAGAACAATGCACAAAGTTCTAGAAATTTTTTATTGAGCATTGTGCATAATCAATATCACACACATTTGATGGCTAAGAATAAGTGTGACCTCCTTGTATCAAAAGTAAATGGTCTCATCTTATATTTTCTCATATGATATACCTAGAATATTATGTGAATAACTTTAAATGTCTTTGATTAGGATAATCCCTTCTGTATCCATATCCTGGATACTGTAAAATGCAGAGTTCTATGTATGCTCCCCTCATCCATCTCTATAATGCATTCGTGTCTGAGTGCTCGGTGCCAAATAAATTGTGGGCACACCTAGAAAATATTGTCAGCAATTCATGTTCTCCTTTTGTGTGGCAATTGTACTTTAGTTTCATTATGCTTTCAGCCATATTATTCCTTTTTCTCTAGCACTTGTTCCTCTTAGCCAATACTCTTTTTGTGTCTTTTAGAATGCTACACTTTTTGCAGCAATTACATATTACAATTTGAGGGTGGCGGGATTGGGATTGCGGCTCATTTGATGATGAAAAGTAGATTTAATTTATAGTACATGAGGAATTCAACTCTGGTTAATTGAACAAATGGGATCAAAATGGCCAAAGCATCCATGGGGATATATGTGATGCTGTTATATTCTGAGGAAATTTATACCACCTACTGTATCTTCTTCCTAGTGAAATGACAATTGAACCCCAGTTTGGCACACATGTTGCTAGAATAGAAAAATCTTGGAGAAGCCAAGTGAACCCCAGGTCACTGGGAGGAGCATGTAAGCTAAACATTATCTTTGCATATGAGAGGAGTTTTCTCTTTTAGTAAATTTATATATGTGAGACAGCATATATCTCCTCTTTTCTGCTAGCTTTGAAGACATTCTCTTGTTTATTGTCCTTCTCGATATAATTGATATTCCAAGAAAGATACATAAAACCAGTCATAGATCTACGAGTACAGGACTTCAAACCTAATCCAAAGAAGAAACTATTCCTACTTTTACCAAACCTAAGGCATTCTTACAGAAAAGGAGCTCCAGGAAGCTACAAATGTTTGCATGTTGACTCTCACCTGTGTGGCTTAAGGATGGTACCCAAGCCTCCCTTAAATGAGAGGATGATTAGTCTATAACTCAAAATTAACATAGGACAAATGTTGAATCTGGTACCGCAGCATGGTCATCATCTTGATTAAGGGAAATATCATCATTACATCCAAATTAAGTTTCTGGCCCTTTCGCATCTCTTCACTGCTTGGCAAAAAAATAGCACAGCTCTTCACCAGTAAAGAGAATAATCGGATGATGTTTTGGAAACTCCAAATTGAAAATTGTGCTCAAATATTGTGTTTTATGACAAAGTGAAGCATGTTAAAGTCGAACTGTCATTATAGAAACCAGATTATATAGATTAAGCTTGCTTCTATCATTGTGTCTTATGGCAGGATAATGCAAATTAAGATGTAGTGCCATTTTAGAAACAGGCTAGTCGGTTTTGTTATCAGTATTTATATAATGCTAATGGAACATGTTTCATCTTTGCTTAACAATTTGTTAACATGAGACATAACAGCTTTTTGCTCATCTCTGTTGATGTTATGCTTTGAGGGCAGTGTTAATATACATTTACATTATGAATACACTGTTCTGTAGTCTGTTCATCTGTACTCACCAACACATCTTTTTACCTTTGAGGGTTTCATGGTCGTTCTGAAACTATATGTTATTAATCACTTCATTACTTTCCTTTCTTTTATTTCTTTTTCTTTGTTTTTTAAGGTTTGTATGATCAACATTTTTTCATTTATTGTATTATTTCGTTTTGGAAATATTAATAGTTGCAGGAAATATTAATAGTTGCAGTGTACTTAAAACTAATTCCAAAACCATGAATTGCAATTTCATTGTTTAATGAGAAGTTCTGTGCAAAATGGCCAAATACAGAGAAAGGTATATTGTTAAAATATTTGGCACTGGACAAAAAATTGGCCTATATTATAGTTGCCTTTCTCAATATGATGTTGAAGTTTCTTGCTTTACAATGTAAGTTCTAAATGCTTCATGAATTCCAAATGAGCACATTATAGTTTTGTAACTTTGCAACTATGTTTATGCTACTAACATTAAATTTGAATTGCATGAAGTACCATGACTATATCAGAAGTAGTTAAGGACTATGCTCATTAGATTATAAAAGCACAAGCAGTGGCACAGAATGTTGTTGCCCAAGCTGTAACTTTGTGCACCTGTCAAAATATATGACCTACTTAAGAATACTAATGGGACTTGTTTCTTTTGAGTAAATGATAAAACTAGTGGGACATATGGTACCCCTTTCTTGAGTCTTCCTATGACTTCATTTTGGAACTCCTTTTGAATTGTTATTAAAACCCAAGCAAGATCTCTGCTACTTGAGTGAGAACAAGATATTCCAGTGCAAAAACATTATCATTCATGATTTCATATAACAAAGAATCAAAACACCTCTAAAAAGTATCTTGGTGTGGAATACTAATGACCTTGGCATCCAGCCTTCTCATATTCGTCTATTATGTTTGGACATGTGGTGCCTCTATGGATACGACATGAATGTGTAATGTTTGTTATTTTGAACATTATTTTGATCATCAAGTAACAAAAACAGTGAATGGAGTTTCAGTAGTATTTCATCAAAATTATACCTAGAAGGAAGTTGATAGAAACCTGTAAACACTTTGCAAGTCAATGTCCAGAGCTTGCAGACTTCGAGTGACCCACATGAAAAGCCTGTTCTTCTTATGGTCAAAACTAATAACCAATAACCAATTTAAAAGTTGGGCCCCAGAAATTGGCAGCTCTCAGTGAGCCCATCTGGTCTCCTCTTTTTCTGTCATAGAAAAATATAAAAAAATAAAATAAAACTATTCACTTGTGAAGAGACTTGCCTGGGTCCTTGGCGATAGTATTGCTAAGCCCCATGGTGAGGTCTCGGACTCCATTCTCACCAAAGGGTAGGGGCCCAAATCCCCACTGAATGGCCTGGGGCCTTGGTGGTAGTATTGCTGAGCCTTATGAGGAGGTCTTTGACTCCATTCTCACCAAAAAGTAGGGGACCAAATCCCCATTGACATACTCACTTTTTTTAATTACCAAAAAAAAAGAAAAGAAGAGACTTGAATAGCCAACACTTGTGGTTTGGGGGAGTTTTGCAGGCCAGTTATTTTTCAAAAACAAAAACAAAATTGTTTTTAAGATGGTCTATATTGATGGCCCATTTAAACGGAACTTCACCCACAAAATTACCCCAGAACCACAAACTAAATTAAAAGATGTCATGACCTTTCTTTTTTTATCTGCAAAAAGTTCCTCATGAGTTGCAATTTCTCTCTCACCTCAAATCCCCACTCTCTTATATCTCTCCGCTCCTTGCCTCTTTTCTCTCGCACTTCATACACAGGTTCTGCAGATAAATGAATCAAGGTTTGGGCAAAGAGAAAAGGGGCCAAAAAACGACAAGCTTGTGGCCATGCTAGAAAGACGCAGATCCATCAACCGGCCTTGAGCATAGATGCCTCGGTGCTTTACTATGGTTCAGGTGATAGGTTAAATTTGGTTTGGGAAAGAGGAGAGTGCTCAAGACATGACCTAGCTGTCGCCTGATGGGTCATAATTCCTTACAGAGACTGGACCCTACACAGAAAGAGAGGCTGCAACCGAGAGAGAGGGAGGAGGGGGGGCGGCTTGGGGGAAAGAGACTGCAAACCTGTCCTAATTAATTCCTTAGAGAGAGACTATAACCTAGAATGAGAGTGCAATCCACAGAGAGTCTGTTATTCTGGTGGATGTCTCTTTAACCCTATCCTCTGACATCTTCGAGCGACCCTATAAACCTGAAATTTATGCAAATCACATCAAATTCTACACCTCTCCCTCTCTTGCTTTCACTGAATTCCCCAATTTTACAATTGTCTCTCTTTTCATTCTTTTGCAACTCCTTATGTCTGCAGTTTCTGCCCCTGGCTCCACCCCATGGCTTACACATAATTCCCAACTAGAACCTCCTGAACCACCACCAATTTTACCAGATATGGAACCAGATGAACCCCAAAAGGACCCTGAACCTTCCATATCAGAACATCAACCAGGACAAGAAGAAAAAGTAGAGCTAACCCTGCTATCCCCTCTCAAAACTGACAATACTCTAGACCTTCTCTCTCTATATTACCTAATGGATTTTTAGACAGAGAGAGGTTTTAGAGAGAGGAGATTGTGAGAGAGGGATGTGAACATTTGAGAGAGGTGAAGATCTTCTCAGATAAAGGAAAAGAAATGATGTATGTTCATTGAATTTCAGTGTCTGGTGAAAATTTCGGTGAGTTTCAATTGAGAGCTCCACATCAGGAAAAAGTGGCAGCCAACAATCCTCATCCACATATCGATGTTAATGTAGTTTATGAAAGTCTACCACATGACCATTGGCATTTTAAAAGAAAATGTCGGCTCATTTCCCTTTACAACAATGCTTATGGGTGGATATTGACGTGGTTTTTTTTAGTACTTTTTACCTGTTTATTGCCTGGATTTAATATTTATTCCATCCAATTATTTGATGATCTTTTCAGCTTGAGAAAGACTACAAAGCTTGGGCTTCTGGTGATGCTTCTCGGCAGCCTCTAGGGACTGGAGAAATGTGAAGCTTCATTATAAATGCTGTAACATGCCTCCTCTTATTATGTGCCTTTAATACCCTTTGCTTTCACTTTTGTGGTTTATAGGACAAGTATTTTATGCTATCATTTGCGTTTAGTCTCCTAACACACCCTGTATCATCCATTGCAACAAAAGGACAGTTGGGGTGTGTTACCCCTTGACTCGAAGTCCATCAAACAATTACAGGTGAGGACTATCACATCCCAACTGTCCATTGCTAACATTCACTAGTTGAGGGATGCTAGGACAGTGTAGGATACCCAAGTGATCATAGTTCTGGGGTAGCAACATGACAGTGGAGATTTAGGTCATAGGATTAGATGTATCAAACAGCTCGTGCCATTGTCATTTGCTTTAAAGAAACAGAAAAAAAGAAAAAAAAAAGAAAATGATAGTATTTGAAAGAAGAGAAGAACTATGACTGGATGTTGCATAAACAGCAAAACGTCCCTGTTTTTCTCAAGCGGAACAGGACCGAAGAATTTTCTATTGAAGACTGCACCAATTTCAGGGAGCTTTTCTTTTCTTGTCACCTGATTTTTGAAATAAAACCAGGGAAACATTTCTCTTCGGTTCTTCGGGTTTGAGTATGATTTGCTCTAAAGTTTAAAGTTTGTAAGTGAAGGTTTTTTTCTATTTGTTCGTTGTATGATATTCACAGAGTTCTATTGTTTTGACACTTCTTCTTTTTGTGATGATGCTATTTTGACACTTTTTCTATTGTGTCATGGCATATGATCAAAACTCAATTGTATTATTTTGATACTTTTTGCAGGTCTGCTGTTCTTCTGTTTATTAGGTATCAATAAGATACTTCATAGGGGAGAATTGGAGGGACAATGACATTATTTCCTTCTGCATGGGATCATTTATTGTATGGACTTTTGGGTTTGTCTATTTTTGTTTTCTTCTCCCCTTATTGTACATACCAACCATGCTTAGCTTCGTGTATGGTACTCTTAATTTTTTTTACATCTAAATGCTTTTTCAATCCTGGCTTGCTGGTAGTAACAATAAAAAGCACTAAGAAAAGCCAAGAGATAGATTGCGCTATAGACCCAAGAGGGCCGGTCGTTACTGTGCAGATTTTGTGCCATACAGGGAAATAAAAATAGGGAAATATCATTAACAGGGATGAAACCTTTTACAATATCATTAAAGTGGTCAGATTTTTTCTTTTCTCATTTCATATATGTCTGGAATAATTTTTTTAAAATACCTGAATTGCTCTTATTTGGCATCAAAGGCAGAACAATCATTGGCATTTTTGTAATTAGACCTATAGAGTTCACAACCGAATGGCAAAAAGACTCCCAGCTGTTCTGCATTTTAAATAAGGAACACAATGTTCAATATTATGTGACAAGAAATTAATAATTGAATTCAGACGTACAATTAAAGTTAGGACAAGCTTTCTATGCTTCTCAAAACTTATGTACTTCCCCTTGTTCAACTTTCCATTTTGAATGGAGGGTTAAGATTGTTCGAATCACAATGTCACATCTCTACATTATTTTATTTTTAAATTTTTTTTCCTATAAACTATTTTGACACCAAATTTTGCACGTCTAATCCTCTATTAAACTTGCACTAGGGAAAAATATATAAAAAATATTTTCAATAAAATAAAATGATCAAAATACCTCTAAAAGTTTCAAGAGGTATTTTAGTTATTATATTTTATCAAAAAATTATTTTTAATATTTTTTTATAGGTATGCTCCAATGAGAAGTTAGCATGTACCAAATTTTATATTCATACAATTTGTATAAAAAAAAACTAAAAATAAAATACTTTGAAACGTCGCATCTAAGATCAAACAGTGAGTGGTTCTGTTGATCAAAATTGGATGGCTGGATGGTAGGGGAAGCATAGATTTTCTATGCTGGAGGCAAAGTATAGAAACCTTTCCTTTAAAATTATATATATACAATGTTATAAATTAAGGCAAAGTATAGAAATTTCTCTCTTATATATATATATATATATATATATGCAATGTTATAAATGAAGCGAAAAATCAGCACCATCACAGGAGATCTAATGTAGGTACGCAGCCAAAAGAAATAAAAATAATAAAAAATCTTTGGAAGCAATTTAATTTGTTATAAATCTTGATAATAAACCCAAATCTTTCACCATAAGTAAAACCCAAATCTTGATACTATTTGGTGGTTTTCATGACAACAATTGTACCCTTCATAAAAAATTTCTCATAAGAAATCACTCTATAACTTTTAGTCCTCATCAATTGAATGTAAATTTCAATTTCTAATAATTTAAAACCCACAAAAATTGAATATTCAAAGAGCATGATTCAATAGAGGAGCATGAATTCTCAAGGATTTTCGCTTAAATTGAGAATTGCATCTAGTGTCTTGATTGTTCACAATTTCCATGAAGATTGGTTTGCAAAATTTAGAAAAATCTTTACCAACCTTTTAGGGCTTGGGGTTTTTGAGAATTTTTATAAAACTGTGAAGCCTATGGAATCTTGTCACGGGATTTTAGGATTAGGGATTCAAAGATTTAAGAAAGGAAAAAAAAAATTAAAAAATAGAAACATACTTAGATTCGAATGCTCGTGAGTGCCTCTGATCTTTGGGCTTGGTGCTTGGTGTGCGGTTCGACGGCTCCAACGTTGTGAATTGGTCCAAAAACATCAAGTCTCGGTGTGAATTGGTCTAAAATGGTTCAAAAACTTCAAGGCTTCGGCTTGCTTCAGACGATATATACACAACAATGTCGAAAAACCTTGGATCGATAAGAAAACTGATTAGTTCAATATTAAATTGATGTTTAACATGGAGAGGTATAAGTTCGATATTTCAAATACCAAACAGCTTATATCAAAGGTTGTACTGGACAACCAACACCTCTAACAAAATTTAAAAAGGATGTGGGAATTTGTTAGTATGAAGTTCTTATCATCAAACTTTTGGGCAAATTAGGAAATAAAGGGCGTCCAATGTTTAAAAAAAAGAAGAGGCATCGTTCGGATGTTTTAAATATTGGATTGGTGAACTTGCGCATAATATTTCGATGAAAATATAAGCGTCTCTAGTTACCATATTTATATATAATATGCATGTAATTTTTCCTTCTTTTTTTTCTTTATGAAATTTTTAAAATTTGAGTAAAATATCATTTAAAAATTTCAAGGCATAAAAATCCCTGAGGAAAGCATTTGTACACTGTGGTCGACACAAGCCATTTGGAGCAGAGTGTGACTTCAGACTATAAAAGGACAAGGGGCGCAATTGGGAAGCAGAACAAAATTAGTCGTTCTATACTTGAAGCTACAAACCGACTTTTTTTGGGTAAGCAAGTGGGGATTTTGGGTCCTACCTTTTTGGTGAGAATGGAGTCAGGATCTCACCATGAGACTCAGCATTACTACCGCTAAAGCCCCGGGCCATTCTCAACTGCAAATCGGTCTCTTGGCAAAAACGGACACATCTTAATTCGAGACTTAGATTTCCGAACGGGCGTGGTTTCCATAAGGTTGCAATCTTAAACAATCCCACTTACTTCCAAATTCTATACTATGCTAGCGTCAAAAAGTTTGCTAGCACCTCCCCGGCCTTCCATTTTTGACATTAGACAGTAGTGTGTGTGAAATGAGCTGATTGAAACCCAAATACTAGCATAAACTAATTTTCTTTATAAACAAAATAACAACCACAAGTTCATATGAGTTGTAGATACCCAAGTATTTTAGTCACAAATAAAGAAAGGCATCAGTGGATGGTCTTTGGCACCCAAAACTTGTGCTACCCATTACGGTGGGATGATCAGTCCAAAATGCCATTGTTCATTACCTCAACAAACATAACTCTCAGGTTTAGTGTTCTGCAATCAGGGTAGGCCCTGAATTTTCTTTGTTTCTGACTCAAGATCCTGAAGCTGCAAATGTCTTTGTTTGTGCTTCATGGATTATAGTTCTTCATAATGACAGCGAGTTCTCAAGTAAAGTTTTGGATTTTGTAAAAAAACTGAGCATTTAGCATTACAAGCTTCAGATTATTGTGTACAATTTAAAATTGGTGCCCAAGCCTCATCCCTTATCAACCTGACTTTCGATATCCTACATCTGCAGAGGACCAATATACCATTAGGAAAGTAGGACACGAGAAAGGTACTAGAGATAGTATTTTAGAGACAGATAAAAGGCATTCAGATCATATATAACTTTCTACAACAAATCTTCAGATAAAAAGTGATCTGAATCTCTACAATTATTGGACATAGATCAGTTCATATGAATCACTGGTTCGATATGAAAATAACAATCTGCTCTTAATGCTTGGTACAGATCTTAGAAATCTGGTTGAGACACAAATAGATTCACTTACTGATCTAATTTTGGCACAATCTAAATTCATATAAAAAACATGAGCAGCAGTTCAGGAAATTTATATAAAATTGATATCAAAGGGTCTGTTGAACCAGTTGTATTTTCATTGAATTAAAGATTCATGAAAAACAAAGTGAATTTGAGGTCCTCTGATGATATATTCACAAGTCAAGATTTCTGTTGAAGTGGAAACAAAGTCTGATCACCTCAACTTCAAATTCATTAAATGAGAACTACAATATCCGGAGGTTGCTCTTAATCATTGAATATAGTTACTGACCATAGGCACATTGTTATGTATGTTGATCTCATTTACAACATATGCAATGACACGCATCCTTTCGACATTCCGATCTTAGACCAATCTATAAATCTGATTTACTTTAACAATGCTTGAAACATTTTGATATTCACTAAGATGGCATGAGAAAACCCTAATGCAGAATAAAACACAATCTCATGAGAGAGGATTCATATTGAGGTACTTGACAAATAGGATATTTTTTGAATAAAGAAAATGTAAACAAAACCTGAATTTATCTTTATTGGAAATGAGTATACAAAATTGGGATGTTCCCACCATTAACATGTCAAAAAAATAAATAAATAAAAATTCAGCGCATGTCCTGTAAATAAATATTCAGTACATGTCCTGTACCACTACTCCACTTTTCAGATAAACCACCATCCTACGAAAGTACACAAAATTTCACCACATTGTGGAACGAGCACACTGTGCCACATTGAATCATATCAAGCCCAACATTGCAGAGCAGAATCTGTCTCCATTCTGAATAAGAAAACAAAGCATGAATATTGGTTATTAGACATTAAAACATTCTCAAATTGTTCATACAAATTTGAGATCCAAACCTCCCAATACACAAATACGAATTCATATCCTTGTTGCTCCTAGATGATTCCAGCTACTATCCCAGACAAGCCCAATGAGTTGCTCATTCCTATACCCTCATCTTCTGAACACATAAATGGAGGCTCATACTCTCCATTACTGAAACAAACATTCATGCCATTTATGCTTCCATGATGATTCAGATCACTGATCTCAGATAAACCAAATGAACAGCCCATCTCGAAGTTCTCATCTTGTGGATATAAGTTTTTTGGCCTAAACTCTCCATTACACAAAAAAGAATTCATATATTTGATACTTCCTAGATGATTCCAGTCACAAGTCTCAGACAAATCCAATGAGCTGCTGATTTCTATGCCCTCATCTTGTGGACACAAAAATAGAGGCCCACACTCTCCATTACTGAAACAAACATTCATGGCATTTATGCTTCCATGATGATCCAGATCACTGACCTCAGATAAACCAAATGAGCATCCCATCTCGACATTCTCATATTCTGGATATAAATGTTTTGGCCCAAATTCTCCACTACACAAATGAATATTCATGTCCTTGACTCTTTGTTGATGAATCAGATGTTTTGGCAAACTCGATGTGCTCGTCAAGTCTTCATGTGAATTCTCTTGATACAAAGTTTGACAACTAGACTCCACACAGTCCAAATTAACATTATTGTCACCATTTTCTGGAAGCATGAATGCCTTCTCTCGCAACACTTGGAGGAAGGAAACATATTCTTTCAACTCTTGTATTTCCATTTCAAATATATCCTTAGAATGCATGTCCAGTTTTACCCACTTCTCTTTTAAAGTCTGGAGATCATTAAATAGCTCTGTCGCATCTTCAAACTGGCTTTGGATTTTAGAGTGTAGGGTGCTTAAGCATTGCAAGTGTTTCCTGTGAGACTCATTCAGTAATTGGGGCCCCTGCAGGTACTTGGTTATAATATCATCTATTGAGGGGCTTCCATAGGTGAACAACCTGCCTCCCTCAGAAATTATCATTATACCCACTTCAGCGCCCGTCAGTGATGCGAGTTTGCCAGCTTTCTTAAATAGGCCCCCTTTCCTTTTAGAGAAAGAGACATGTCTCTTATTCTTGTCAGAGATCCTTGTTATCTCTTTGTTTCGATGAGTCATCAGTAACAATCAAGTAAAGAACCAGTAATGAACCTGGAATGATGGCAACAAAAAACAAACCAATTTAGGAAATGGAGGATTTGAATAGAACAGGGTATCTAAACTATTCACCACATTTCCGGTCAAATTCAGTGAAAATTTCCATGTTTTCACAATTTGCCAATTTAATATTTTATAGAGTATAGACCCAATTTTCCAGAAATTTTCCAAATTTCTGGTTAATAATGAATCTCATTGCATTCAAATTGCAATAATTCACAAAATGAGAAGATAAAATAGTAAATAAGACCTGCAACCAGTGTAGCACGACTCGGCCGAGTTACTAGGCTAGTTTTGCCGTACACCCATGTAATACACATTTTGTATATTAATATGGCTATTTCCAATAAAAGGCTTTCAAGTGGCTATTTCAAATCAACTATAAATTGTATGCAAGGATTTGAGTTCAACAGACTGCATCTGGAAATGCTTCAAAAAAGAATTTCAAGTGGCTACACCCTGTTTTTCCTAAGGCAGTCGATGCATGTGTTTGGATAACCTGAAATTTCTGTGACATTTTCACATAATCTTTAGATTTGTAAAGCAATGGAAACATAACTGTTGCAACAATCCTCTGAAATTGGTTTAATATACATTCGCAGATCATTACTGGATTGGTTATGAGCATGTTTTAGAGACCTCAATTAGTAGCTCAGCCGATAAAAGAAAAAAAATGGATTTCTAGGATACATGAGTAGCTATAGAGGACACGTGGTTGGCATTGGCACAAAAAAAGAGTTGCGATTATGAAATGATTTGTTGTTTTTCTACAAAATAATTTCAGATTTCTGAAATTTTTAGGAATTCTTTCACTTAAAAAGAAATCAAGACACTTATGGAGATTTAGACCTGAATGCTGGTTTCGAAAGTAGCAGATCTCAGTTAACAAAAAAATAATTATACCAACTTTAGAATGTTCAAACTAGAAATCCAACTTTCGCATTTGGAGAAGTCAACTGGAACAATATTGAAGATGGTATCCAAATTTCACAAAATATGGCAAGTAATGTGCAAGAAGAAACTGTGGTCAATGTTCGGTGGTTATTGAAATCTCAGGGCTATACTCGAGTTACTCGGACATGCCCAAGTAATTCAGGTCTGATTCAATTTCAGGACACTGCCTGCAACTCACTAAATGGCTATTTCAAAGCACTAAATACTGGTTTTGAACATAAGAGCCAATTTCTGGTTAATAATGAATCTAACTTCATTCTGATTGTGAATAATTCACAAAAAAGAGAAAATAAAACAGTAAATGAGACCTGAAACACTAAACTAAGAAGATCGAAATATTAAAAGAAAAATCAATTTAACAGGAAAAACCCCAATTTCTAGTATAATGCTCATCCCATGAGGAAAAACTGAAAAACTCCTTGGAAGAACATACCTGTTGGTATCACAAAGAGAGGGACACGATTTTGGGAAGAGAGAGGAAGATGGACTTCGGCGTTTTGGGGCCGCCCCTTCTGCAGAGGCCAGAGAGAGAGTGTGTGTTTTCTGGTTTTTGGGTGGTCTCCTGTTGCATCCTAAGAGAGAGACTTATAGTCGCAGTCCTAATGCAGCAGAATAGAGAGCCTAAGAGAAAGAGACTTATAGTCGCAGTCCTAATGCAGCAGAATAGAGAGAGAGAGAGAGAGAGAGAGAGAGAGAGAGAGAGAGAGAGAGAGACTACAAGAGGAGGAGAGAGAGAGAGAGGAGAGTAGTAGTAGTAGGAAGGAAGTAGTAGGTTAGGTAGTAGGTGTAGGTAGGACGGACGGGACGGTACGGTAGGGACGTAAGTACGA